TGGGATTATTCGCGTAGAGATCACGCGTGCGCCGATTTTTGTAGGATGGCTTTAAATTTGGGAATTTTGCAGAGGTGTTGTTCACTGTTTTTGATAGCAAAGGGAATGTCTCATCTTCTACAGTGGAAGAATTTATAAGGCTTAGGGGACCACGATTTTTGGGTGATGGATTCACAAGGCCCGGGCTTTTCGATGGCGGAATTTTCGTAGCGAAGGAAAGATTTAGTAGAAAATAATGTAATAGCAGCGCCTTTTTCCTTGTTGGAGCGTTTTAAAGAGCTTATTTGCTGGATGAATTTTTCAGCTAAACTAAGTACTCACTCCCTTTTTTTTCCAGATACTTGATCCATTGTTTGTGGCTGGCACTTTCCTGGCGATTTTGGGTGGCACTGTAGTGTCCTCGGAGAGTGGGCTGCGTTCTTGCTGGAAGTGGCGTTGGATGACGTAGGAGCCTGGGCTATTTATCTCGAGGGAATGCTTGTCCACTGTCTGGCTGTCTGTCATGTTTGACATTAACGGGAGCTGTACACTATTGACACTTGCACTAGCACTATCACTTGCACTGTTGAGTGCGAACATCTCAAAAGATGACGAGTCTGTCAACTAAAGAGCCAGCCATGCAGGCCACCCCTGAAGGTGGCGTGTACGCGAGTGTAAGTTTTAGCTAAAACACAGTCGCGAGGCACGACTAAGTTGCACTTACCAAAAAGAGAATAGAGGTAACCCTTTAAAAGGCCGTATGGAGAGAGCTTAAGTCTTAGTAAGAGCAAGGCGTAGCGGGCGTGCGCAGAAAGTGAGCGTTAAGTATGAGCGCTTGAGCGAGACTGTTTGACCTGCGTATCATTAACCTTGTATAAGCCAATTTTAGCAGTCTTGTAAAAACTTGAGCCTAGTCTTATAAAGACCGTAGGTCCTTAGCTTAAACAAACACTCTTTACTCTACTCTCTCCCTCTCTATTGCCACTGCTTCTCTGTGACCCCTCCCCCACCTTCTTTAGGTGCACGTTATTTTCTAACAATCTCTGGCTGAAAGGTCCCTGTGCTAATTGGCTCTCTCTCTCTCTCTGTGCCATTACTGCAACTCTGTGCTGCCACCTCCTTAAAATTACATGCTTTTTTCTTACACTTTCTGACTGATGGGTACCATTTCCATTCATCTCTTACAGTATATCCTAAGTATATATTTTATCGTTACTTGTGATGAAGATGTTCGTTCTAAAGACAACTTATAAATTGAGTTAAAAAGATTTAGACAACACAATTAAAAAAAATAATTATTTTTTTTATATGCCTTTCTCATTTAAAGTAATGCTCTTAGCGTAAAATAAACTAAAATGTGATTTGGCTCCAGGAACTGTTAGGATTACGAATACTACTTTACATTTTTTTCCTACATTGAACATAAAAGTACTTTTAGATTTATTCGACAACATTTACAATACAGGTTTTTTTCTCGAATACTAGCAAACTTACATGAAAATTACTATTTCCAAAAGCAATAGAAACAAGGCTAAACCTATTTCGATGGCATCTTGTACTTTGAAACTACCAAGGAAATAATCTGCAATAGGTCTATTTGGTGGCTAGAATGTAACAAGAAAAGTCCACCATTTTCATATGGATTTTATAAAGGAAAATTTAGCGTTGACAGTCTGTCCATACTTATTATAATCCAACAAGCCTTCTATAAAATAAAATCTGGTAGTAGTATTTTTGGATACCTAAGGTGCCATTGACAACGTCATTATAGATATCCTCCTTAAAGATTTTATTGACCTTAATTTACCTGAAAAATTTGTTAGTTTCATAAAAAATCTTATTTTTAAAAGGAATATTTTTTCAATGGATACAGATCGGAAAAATTGTTTTGAAGCTAACAAAGGTTTTTCTCAAGGATCTCACATTGAGCTCAATTTTATATACACTACATATAGTGAATGCCAGCTGTATCCTTAGTAGACTAACAAAAATATCCTAACTTACAAATAATGAGGCACTCTTTATCTTTTTTAATGACACTTAGCAAGCTATTGGCATTATATATACACAGTGACTTAAAGAAATTAGATAAATTAAAAAAAAGAAGTACGAAAGTAAAAGCTTATTGATGCCACTTTAGAATCTTTAGCCAACTCAATATTACACTTAATTCATACTCTTTAAGTATAGATGAAATAAAGATAAAACTTACAATGGATGTCAAATTTCTAGGAATATACCTAGACAAAAGTTTCATTTATGTAACACTAATAATGCCATAACTGAAAACTTAGAAAATTTTCCAATGCTTCGTAATTAGAGTCCAACCAGTTATAACTTAAAAAAGTCTTTATTGGTTGTATGCTATAAAGATAAATAAAAAGGTAGATTAAAATGTTTAAAAAGCTGCTTCAAAAGGCATCCCTTTAAATAAGCAGATCCATTTATCAGATTTAATTAAACTTTTTAAAGCTACATGGATAGACAGACACAAAGGCCGTTTATTAGAGCAGGCCTTCAATACTGGCTTATTTGATTTAAATTTTTGTAGTTCTCATTATAAAAATCCTTAACATTACCACTTTCATTTATGTAGCAAAGCTTTTTTTTTTTAATACAATAAGAAGAGGACACACATCCTTAACTTATAGTCTGTAATAATATAGGATTGTAAATAGTGATACATGCAAATGTAACGATAATTCTCCTGGATACTGTAAGTTATGTTTCCTAGTAATGTGGGCTCTTTAGTAAAGAAAGGGACAGAGTGTATAAAGAATTTAAAAACACCATGAATTTAAAAATATGTTTACAATACTCGATCATTCTTAAACCTATATTCTTTTGTCAAATTATAAAAAGCTGTATACATTAATAAGTAAGTCCCAAAAAAAAAAATTTTTAGTACTCCACAGCCTGTAATCGAAGTTTGTCACTATTTTTGTAAGAAATTATTTATTTACTAAGTCATGGTTGTATAACTTAAAATTTTGCCATTAAAAATCACATTTATACTATATTACGTATAAAACACTTCCATACATAATGTCCAGTATAAATGTGTGACAATTTCAGTAATTTTATAATGAACGTATTCTGAGAATTTAACATTCACTCTATATAACCTTCTACGTCTTTGTAGTAGAAAAGATTTGTTGTTAACTAATCTGGTATTTTTTTCCCAATGACGTTTTAGTAAGGAACTCCTTTTTAACAGCTCAGTCACTCAATCCTTCTCTAGGGTGATCTCAAGAAGGGGCAACATCATTCCAAGATAAATAACATTTTTAACGAGAGCAGCGCTGTCATATAAAGGTTCAGTGTGATAAGGTATAAATGGGAACATAAATCTATTCAGTATTCGATTGCTTACACTTGTACTTGTTTTAACTTACATTCAGCTTCTTTTTTGTTCGTTTTAGTACAACAAATATTTTATTGTTTTGCCTAAGTAATATTTTACGTCAGTCATAGGCGTGGTAAAGACAAATCTGTTTACTGAGAGACAAGTCCCTCTTAAAAACAAAGTTACTTACATCGAAGGCTTGCTGAGTTGAGAGGAGGAAGACATTCCTTAATATGCCTAACCAGACATGACTTCAGCTCGCACGATGAGCTCGTTCTTTTGATTTCTCCCAATGGCAGTACCCATGTGGACTATGAAAAGTCACTCGAGCGATTGCATGTAATTTTTGAAACTGTCTAAATTACAATTATGATCTACAGATAAATTTTTCCAATCATTTTTCAGTGAATAAGAACAGCAAAAATCTTAAGCTGCCTGTCGCAAAATTGCCAAAGTTTGATAGAAATATATTTAATTAGCTGTTGTTTCAAAATGCATTTGTTTGAATGGTAGATGAAGCACATAGTACTGACAAGCGGCTACCCATCTTGGCCTTGCCCAAGACTCACTAAATAATATACTGTTGTGTGTTGACATGTAATGTTAAACGTTTTTAGTTCAAAATTTTAGATCTATTTCCAACACTTCTAGAACAAGAATCTTGTCATTAAAACATTTTTTTTTTTGGAACCCATACAACTTATTTGGTCAGATAAAAAGATGTTAGAAGTAAAAAAAATATAATCATGCTAAAAAGTACTGTGCGTCCCTTAAGCTGCAAAATAAGTGTTGGCCCTTAAAAGGGCATTTATTTGCTGTTCCACCCGTATACTCTACAAATAAAGCTACTTGTTAAAGCTGTTTAGATTTTAAGCTCACAAAAAATACATAATCAAACAAATTTCTTCTCTTATTTCACAACTTCATTACCGGAGCAACAAAGTCCTGGAGCCTAATCGTTCAATTTTTTATTACCACAAAAATATAAATATATATTTCTCCCATAGAAAAACTTAGAAGCCTTTAGATAAAACTATAAGAATCATAATGGAAAGCCGATCTTTCCCTTAATAAATTTTGTATTTGTCGATTTTTATGCTGCTGCTTCAATCTCGATGAATGTTCTGTGTCAGTTTCTTGATGCCTTTAATTGTATACATTAAATGTAGTTAGGAATTTCTTCCCAATTCACCTTCTTGCAACTTTTAGCATGGTTGAGACTTTCATGAGCCCTGAAGGCTGTTTTTCATCAACTTTTTTAAGTTGTAATGTATTTGTTGGCAAGGTAGATCGACGTCCCATGACCCTAAAAAAGACTGATAAAATTTTTAAGAAGACTCTTACGTCTCTGAAGTTTCCAGCAAACATAATTGTATGTATACCTTAGGGTGATGAAGGTTTAAGCTTCAGAACTAGTTTTAAAGCTATTTCTCAACGTCTCCTAGTGTAATGTCGAAGACGTTGGTGTTTAAAGCACCTTTTTCTTGCACACTTAGTTGCTTTGGTGATCTAAGGTATTGAGATTGGTTTGTGATGCTTGCCCGTTGGAGACTGTCTCGTTGGCTCAAGTTTTTTTTCCTTAATAGCTGTTGGGTTCACCCAGTGCAGACCTTGAAAAATATCAATGATTCCTAGTTGAATGCTCAGAGTCGAGAGGGTAATATAGAATCGTCAATCACTGGGGTTCCCAGCCTTGTAATGAACTCCAATCGTGACGTTTGCTAGTGAATGACTGCCTTAGTTGAATAGTGGCCAGCTTCACAAAGTCCTTTAGACAACGAATCGTTTTCTGAAATAGTAGTAAAAATGTATTAATTAGCAAGGTAGTTTGAACTTAAGTGGCCCTTAAAAGAACCTTTGACGTAATAGTTAAGAAGGGAGCGTTAATACTTACGATGGCCGTAAAAAGGGCCAGTAGTGATATTTCCAGCTATTCCGTATTATTATTCTTGATGATAAAGAGCTGACTGCAGGTAGCTTGACTCTTAGTCCTTAGAGTCTCTGTGTGTAAAAACGTGCTGGAGGGTGGTACGCTGCTGACTGAAGAATATCTCGTCTTCAGATCGTTTCTTGGATAACCAACCACTCATTGTTAGCCAAGGAAGTGGGCCTAGAGAATACCTTCTCTGTAAGTATTCCGTTGAAACAACCACTGAGAAGAAGGCCTTTGTGGCTGCCCATACTCCTTGAAGGTGTCTTCCATGGCTTGCATTTAAAGTAGACTTCTCTGACGGTACCAGGCCGGATGATTAAACGTCCAACAAACTCTGACGTAATAGAGCAGGTTATGCTCTTGCTAGATACGTCTCCTGGTATTTTACCAGAGGCATTATTGTTAAAAAAATTTTTTTATTGGTGTTACTTGTCAATCCTGGTAGATCAGGGTGGAATCAGACGTAGATGGTTTGTCCATTAGAGACGAGTGTCGTCGATAGCTGGGATACACAGCTGCCTGACTAATAGCTCTTATATTTATGTACTGTTGGTAAACGACTGTAAATATTGCTAATATACTTGGGGCCGTTATAACTACACTCATTTAATTTTATTGCAGGTAGCTCCAATTTAACGTCTTCGCCAACTTGCGGCTCGTTCTAAACTAACGTGAGAAGCTAGCATATTTTTGCAAAACTTTAAGCTTATTCATTGCTATTATTAACAATTTTTTGAAGATAAAAACTATTCTTTAACTATCTAGGAAGTGTCAATAATCATTATGCAAAATTTTACCCAGAACAGTTGAATAGTCTTTGCAGTTAGAGATTGCGGCTGTTTTAGCGACTTTGCTTTACATATCAGTAAGATTTGCAAGGTCTTGAATCTATACTCTTACTTACGTAGCGACGCGTTAGTGACAATTGAGCGATTGGATTAGAGTAACGACTGTTATAAAGATTCTTGTAAATTGCTTCTTGATTTAAAGGACAAAAAGTTTTGGTGAACAATTAACTATTGAGATAGCCTTTTGTTAAGACGCCCGTAAGCGATGTTTTTGATTAGAGCCTGACATGTCTACTGGATAACGTGAAATATTTTTTAATAGTTCGTGAAAATCTTATTATTATAAGTTGCGTGTCTTATGTTAACGCTAGGGCAAGTCTTGCCTCTGGCTATTTGTAACGAATGGAAAGAGGTTTGAACGATAGATGCAACTTCCAAGTTGCAAGATCTATATGATCTCATCATGTGAATAAAATTCTATTCCTTTAATACTAAGCAACAAAGCCTGTCTAAGAGCACGTCAAATAATGAGATTAGCATGGATAAAAACTAAGTTTTGGGTGTTATGACACCCATTCAAAGAAATTTTAAGAGTCGTACTGGAACTCCAGTTTCAGGCTACTTTTGCCATGTTGAACGCGGTTTACCCTATTTGTGGCTCGTTGTATAAGCCATTATTAAAATGCTGATTGAGCTATCAAAAGTGCAAAAAGTGCAAATACTTTCACAACGTACTTCAATTTATTTTTTTAAAACACTTATACTTGATAAAAATTTTAAACATAAGGAGTCCAGTAAAAAGGCTATAAGGTAGTCATGACTAGGTGAAAAGAACGAGCTGTCCAATATTGCTATAACTGCAAAAATAAAAATAAAAAAACAAGTAAGAACTTGTTAGTTGTAAAGCCCTTCTAGATACGTGTGCCTTGGTGCGTTTCATGACAACAAGTATTGCCAAACCATTAAATTAAACAGCAAGACTGTGTACTTTTTCGATAGCAATTTTCGATAATTTAGTCGCCAAATCAGATGGGGCTCTAGATTTCATTTACTTGAGTAATTTTAACTTAAACAAAACATTGACTTTGTCACTGATTTTATGCATTACCTGGCTGGTTCCGATAACAAGATTTTTTAGCAAAAAGTTAAGTTGCTCAAGCATTTGACATTAGCTTCGGAGAATTTTGTGTTTCCAAGGCACCAAGTGTTTTTATTGAAGCTGAGACAAGTTAATCTAATTTTGACATCGGAGAAATGTCTTATTTTTTTTTCAGTGTCAATTAAATATTGTGGGAAACAAGAGTTGACTAAGCCGTAGCTAACTATGTGCATACAAGTGGAAAGTAGGGTGAGGCCGCTCGTAGCTTCGCAGAGCTGAAAAAATTGATTGAAATACTCTAAGTTATTCACGAGCAAGAAGTGTCGAAGACGCATCAAGCTGCACGAGGCGAGTGCAAAGGTCATTCTTAACAGTATATCGTGCGCAAGAGTTTCAGTCACTATATATTATGTTTGCCTTTTCAAATGCAAGATACGAATCAAGGTAACTTACACGCATCGGTGTTAAAGCATTCTCACTGGCTTGAGCCAAAATTAGATAGAGGTTTGGCTATAAGTGTATATATAAGTGCAGGTTACTAAAATATCATTAAAAAATGTATTTAACGCAGTCACGCATTGGAAATCGTGTATGAGACTGTGCCAGGGCACTGGGTACATTACACAGGCTAAGCTTTTTTCGCATTTGTTGCGTTTTTGTAAGCATAAGTGCGTTACCACTGCCAATACCACAAGAATGTACCGTCAAGCTTAGGTGCATCCAGAAGATAAAAATTTTTTCCTAGTTTCTGGCCTTAAGATAAAAAGTAACGTGCGTACCAACCTCATACGATACCTTGATGAACATAGCAGGTAGCGAGAAAATAAATATATCTGTGCAAGTAGTATAATTGTGTTTAAAAAGACGCATGTCTTCTTTAAAGTCTGACTGAACTCTTCGCTTGAAGTTGTGTGACACACTGACACCATCTTATTTGTATGGCGACATCAAAATCGATCTCATTATCTCGATGCCAAAAATTCTTTTTTGATCTCATTCTAATATGGTGTAAAAGTGCTCGAATAAAGGGCTTGGCATGCTACAAACATTCAAGTCCCATATAGTATCCCAAGTTCAAGGGAGTGGAGCGTCAGCATATTTATTTCAAAGGAAATTACGTAGACGTTTTTTGTCGTTGGCAAAGTTCGCATGATTTTTAAGGTAATTGTTTATGGTTGAACAAGCCAACGTTTAAGACTATGAAAAAGAAAATGGGCCCATTATAAATATTAAATACATAATCTTATTGTAAAAGAGCTCCAGAAACAGAAAAAATGGTTTGTTTGGCCTTGCATCAATGCTAGTCAATAATGTAAGATACTATTTTATTTGAATGTAAATTATTTTTCTATTTAAGTGTCAACCACAGCTCAGATGGTAAATAAACAAGCACACACGAACTGTAAAAGAAGAAATTATTTTATTAACTGAGCAAAATTAAAAACATTTACTCTTTAATAACGTTTATATAAATGGAAGTTCCTTAGTTACATCAACTTGGATGCTCTATAATTAAACATAAAATGTTACATTGTATTGTATAAATGGAAGAAACTGTGATCGCTAAATAAACTGTTATCTAGTCCACTGTAATAATTTTTTTTTTTTTTAAACAGTGTGGTGTAGTTAAATAGTTTTTATTATTTTCGAGATGAACATAATTCAAACAAGACTATTAGATAATCTTTTACGGATTATGTCATTATGTTACACAGTAAAAGATTAATTTAAAAAAATTTCAAAATTTAACAACTAACTGTGTGAATTTTTTATACTCTTATCAGGAATAGTATAAGTAATGGCAACATTTTCTTACAAATTAATTTACAAATTAAGCATAACGATAACTTTATTATAAAGTTCTTCAATGCCGTAATTTTTAAACATAAGAAACTATTCGCAAATTATTAATGGTATGAAAAATATCATCACGCTTCTCATTTTATAAATAATTTAATCCTTTACAACTTTTTTTCCGACAGTGTGTACCGATTAACGCATATTAATAATGTATTACGAAAAAAAAAAGAACGCTACTTTCTTACCTTACTGTTGAGACAACTAATAAATCAAAGGGTTTATTGACCAGCAAACTTAACCCATTATCTTACGCAAATCAGTGATCAATTTTCTGCAGAGAAGCTGGATCAAGCTCAAGAAGCCATTTAACCGGCTTTCTTCCATTTAACATCAATGTTTGTTTGGCTCTGTCATCAACCATTTATATTATTTTCTTTATCTAAGTACAACATAAGATTTTCACCAAGAAACAGTAAAAAATCAGCTCGTTAACTGATGCATAACAGATTTTATATTTTTTTCAAAATATTGACACGTTTTACTCTGTAATAAAATATTTACCTTGTTTAAGTATTATGATAAATGTAATATGGACTCACAATGATTTTAAAAAACTTTTGAAAATCAAACAACTTAAAACAAAATATCTAGAGGTANTTAGCAAAGAAGCCATTTAACATATTACTTAACTTTTATCTTATTTCGCATAAATCTATCAATTCAATAAAAAATAAATGACTGTTTATTTAATTTTCTTAGGTGAAATAAAATTTTTTTAAACATTTATTAACTTTATCCTTTTAAAACAATAATAAATTTTTCTTGACTTCTTTATTTGTGACAATGGTGGCTAACTGATTGAAAGATATTCGTCACAGTCAGTTAGAAAAAAATTTAGAAAGATGAGAGCAGCATCAATAGTGCAGATATTCTGCAATGCTGACAATTGATTTGCTTTTGCAAACATGCTCTTACACCTACTTGACCTCTCCTTTCTTATAAGATTTATATTAAAAAAAAAACACTTGTTAAACAATAGTAATTTTGCTTTCGTTTTCTACTTCTCAGACAATTTGAGGAAAGTCTCCACCTAAAATTATTATTTTATTTTCAAAAGGTTTATTACTACTTGAAAAATCTTTTAAAGTCCTATCAACGGTTTCTTACATTAAAAACTATCAATCTGCTTGAAAAAGCAACATGTCAATTGGTACATAACTACTAGAAAATAAAGACATAAAGTTGTACAACAAAAAGCTATTTGTAAGACAGCAAAATATTAGTTTGTTTTTTGTTAATTAATGCTTTGATGTCATTCTTTATAGGGTAAAGACAAACTGAACAATTAGCTTACTAACATTTTTCTTGGGTAACAATATTGTTTTAAATGTTAGTAATTATAACAACAACAAAAATGTGACATTCGGGAATTTGGACGTTTTGGCACAAAAATTATATTTTGCACCTTCAATAATGGCAACTTTATATTAGGTCACGGCTCATACCTTTTTACCAACAAACGTCATTACATTTGTTATAAAAAGTTCAATTGAAAAAAAAAAAAATTCTGAATTCACTTCCAATCCAAGATACAAGAAATTGTCGTTTTTGAAATAACGGACTGATAATATAATTCACTTTTTTGTTGCGAAAAAATTTGGGTTTTATCTTCATGTATTTCACAACTACGTTGATAGAGCACGTCACTTATTTTATTGGAAAAAAGCTACCAAAAAATCAAGAAAGCTGCATCGTAACAGCCAGCAGCTCAGCATTTTCATTTGAACCCCTCTTTTGCAACCAGGTAGCCAACCGGTTGTAGTGCGGATGGGTCAAAACATGGGCTACAACTAGTGTTTGAAATTAAGTAAGCATATAGTATATATTGTTAATGATTATACAGTTACAAGTACAGTTTTTATCATTAAACATGCTTGATTAACAAATTAAATACAAAAAGTGATTGTAATAAGAAATACATTGAGAAAATTTTTCTTCTACATAAAAATCGAGCGTTTTTGGATAACGTTCTTGCACAACAGTACTTTGAAAAGCTTAAATACGGTCATATTACCTTAAAAGACTACAAAAATATTCAATCTTGAAGGAAAGGTCGTGCTAGCTGAAACTTACGATTTTCATTGTTTATTTTCAAGGAAATAAAAATGTGTAATGCTACTGATGATGAAAAAAAACTTTTTTGGGCTTTGAAAAAGTAGGAAAAACATTAAGAGTTCATGAATAAAGACACAGTCATCAATGTATACACGTTACCTAACATGTATTCTTAAGTTTATGTTTATATTCATAGGAAAGATCTAAATCATCATAGCACATTTATGACATTATTACACACGTATTTTAATTTTTTCAGACCGAACTTTATGACAGCATAACCTTACAAAATAAAAGAAATTTCGATATACCTAAGAAAAATTAAAACAACCCAAAAGCTCTGATTTTCTTTAAATTTAGTTTTAATGACGTAGAATCTAGTGACAGACTATCACGAAGATTTACTTTAGGTGGAAGTCTCAAGATCTACACCTAAGTTTTTCATGGAATTCAACATTAATAATAAGCCTTCATTTTTACCTGTTTCCCTATCCCCTGCAATAGATTGCAGACTTTGAGTAGATATTTGCGAATGCCCCATGGATGATAAAGCCATGCTCCACCTGCGGTTTGCTTCCCTGCTATATTTATCCCATGGTGCAGGACGTTCTTTTGTAGGTAATCGGCTTGACCTTGGAAGAGTTTGGTATGTTTCCCGAAGAAAAGTTGTTATTTCTAATAGAAGCATGCAAGCAACTAGTCGTAAAGCCATCGGACATCGTGAGCCATAAGTAATAATACTACCTGAAATCAAAAACAATTATCTTATTTCAAGTACCATTATAGTTGAGATGCATTTTAGCAATTTTAAAGTATCCATACTCATAACTTATACGGTTTTTCTTTTATAATATGGTATAATATGGCCAATTTATTTATTGTGGTAACTGCTAAAAAACTTCAACTGAAATATTAAAATCAAATTTTGTTTTCCTATAATTTACTTCATTTATTCTATTTGTACACGTTTTCTTATGTTTATTAGAGATATGTATTTGCTTATATATATTGAGAAAGAGTCACAGCATCGAGCTCACACATGCAGGCATCTGTCTGTAGTTTATAACAGAGTTGTATGTATTGGTGACTTTGTGTGCTTGACATGCTTAGGTAATGTCTCTAAGGGTATGAGTCATGCGTGTGCAATTGATGAAAAGCGCTGATCTGATTTAAGCATGATATATGTTGTAAGCTTGCAGATGAGTAGGTTGCTTGTTCTCGGTTATGTTATTATGCTAATAAGAGTTAAGTGATTCAGCCTTGGCCGCGATGGTCAAAAGTTTGATACCGACCACAACCTTCAGAGCGCTTGTTTATCAGCACCACTGCCAGCCAAACTGTAAATTATTACTAATGAACACATATGTGTATATATATATACATCTTTCTATGGTAAATAGTTGTAAGAGTTAGAGCAATAATTTGCTCCCCCCCCAATCCCCCCACCACCTCACTTCGCCCCTAATAAGGGAGTTTCTCTTTGATTTTTTGCATTTTTCGAGTAATCCTACTTTTTTGCTGGTTTCCCCCCGCTCCATCCCGCCGCCCCACTTTGCCATATTCCCCCCACCTCTCTTTCAGCTTTCCCGTATATAATATGAATAAGTATTTAAAGGCTCATATATTAACTGTTACAAATGCTCTAATTTTTACAAATAATTTTATGTGACCATAACAAAAAGTTTTGTTACAATTAACTTACTTACAATGTTTATTTTTATTACATACTCTAAAACGTCTCTTGAGAAGCTTTGCTCTTACATAATCTTTCCCACAATTTTTACCAATATTTTCTTAACGTTTTTTTTATAAATTTTCAAATGTCTCTGTAAGTGGTTATTTCTTTTGAAACTTTTTTCGCACTTAATACACTTGAAATTTTTTTCAATGTTTTGGCATTCCTTTGTGTGACGCAAATTATTTTTTTTCTCATATTATAATGCTACATAGATAACAAGCGAAAAACTTTTTTTTGTGAACTTTTTCGCGCAATGATAGACACTCTTCATTTAAAAATTTTGAGTTACATTTGTCACACTGATAAAATCTTGCATCCATGATGGTGTATCTGAGAACATATTACAAAAAACGGATTGTTTATTATTACACAAATCTAGGTGCTAAACGGTACTGAAATTTGCTTTTTCGTTGAAAGATAAAATTTGCAAGAAAGTATAAAAATAGTAATGAACTATAGAACAGTTTTTTTGTTGCTCTAAAATTTCATTCCAAACAATATTTTTAATTTTAAATTTGTTTTCTGATTCAATTTGGATAAAAATGTTTTTTGGGTTTCTACATCTAGACAATGCAACATATAATTGCCCATGAGAGAATAATGGTTTTCTAAGGTATACTCCTAAGGCATCAAAA